CTCTCTCTCTCTCTCTCTCTCTCTCTCTCTCTCTCTCTCTCTCTCTCTCTCTCATATGTAAGTACACTGTAGCTGTCTTCAGACACACCCCATAAGAGAGCATCAGATCTCATTACAGATGGCTGTGAACCACCATGTGGTTGCTGGGATTTGAACTCATGACCTCCGCAAGAGCAGTCAGTGCTCTTAATTGCTAAGCCATCTCACCAGCCCTACTTTTTATTTTTTTATTTTGAGGCAAGCTTTCTCTAAATTGCTCATCCTGGCTTTGAAAGCACTCTGTAGCCTAGGCAGGACTCGAACACACAGTCCTTCTGCCCAGCCTCCAGAATAACTAATGGGCTTGCACCACCTAGCCTGGCCAAATTTGGTTTTCTTTATTGGTCTGTCCTCATAAAATGGGCTAGGAACTATTTCTCCCACTTCGTTTTTGTAGCAGAGTTTACAGAGAGGGTCTAGAGAGCTGGCCCTGGTTTAAGAGTGCCTGCTGCTCTTCCAGAACACTGTAGTTTGGTTCCCACCACACACATTGGGCAGCTTACAACTAACTGCATGTGTTTGAGTACTCGGTCCATAAGGAGTAGCACTATTAAGAGGTGTGGCCTCATTGGAGTAAGTGTGGATTTGCTGAAGGAAGTGTGTCACTAAGGGGTGGGCTTTGAGGTCTCCAAAACTCAAACTAGTTCTTTGCCTGCTGCCTCTGGATCCAGAAGAAGAACTCTCTGCAACTTCAGCGCTATGTCTGCCCACCAAGATGATAATGGACTAAACTCTTCCTGTATAAGAGCTGCTGTAGTCATGCTGGCTCTTCATGGCAAAAACAAACAAACAAACAAACAAACAAACCCCCAAACTCTAAGACAAGAAACTATTCTCACTCTTAGAGCTTGTTAAATCTTCCCTGCGAGACATAACCTCTCTGGGTTTTGTGGGAACCTCTGGTAAGTCTGCCTGCTCTATCCTTGCTGTCCGAATCATGAACCAATGAGGAGTTAAATGGGCCTTTACTGAAGGCCTTGACTATGTACTAGGAGTCTGCCTGCCTGAAAGATTCCTGAAAGAACTAGCAGTGCCCTAAGCATGGAAGAGAGACAGGAAGCTTGCCTAGAAATTCACTGGCACACTGTGGATATATGGAGGGGCTTCTTCTGTTACCTCATTACTACCTTTTACATGAGTAGAATTGAGATTTAAAGAAATAGTAAGTATCTGTGCATTCAATATCCAAGAACGGTATGCCAGACATGGTGGTATTTGGAAGCTAAGACAAAAGGGTTTTACATTTTTTTTAAAGATTTATTTATTAAAGATTTATTTATTTAGTTTTATGTATATGAGTGCACTGTAGTTGTCTTCAGACACACAAGAAGAGGGCATCCGATCCCATTACAGATGATTGTGAGCCACCATGTGGTTGTTGGGAATTGAACTCAGGATCTCTGGAAGAACAGTCAGTGCTCTTAACTGCTGAGCCATCTCTCCAGCCCCCCAAAATTTATTTATTTAATGCATGTGAGTACATTGTTGTTCCCCTTAGACCCATCAGAAGAGGGCATTGCATCCCATTCCAGATGGTTGTGAGCCACCATGTAGTTGGTGGGAATTGAACTCCAGACCTCTGAAAGAACAGTCTCTTAACCACTGAGCCATCTCTCTAACCCAGGGTTTTACCTTTTAAAAAAATTTCTTATTATTATTTCTTATATTATTTATTCAATTTACATCCCATTCACTGCCTCCTCCTGATCACCCATCTCACAATCCTTTCCCTATCTCCCCTTCTCCTCTAAGCAGGTGGGGGTCCCCCTGGGTATCCCCTGACTCTGACACATCAAGTCTCTGTGAGGCTAGGTACATCTTCTCCACTGAGTCCAGACAAGGAAGCCAAGCTAGAAGAACATATCCCACACACAGGCAACAGCTTTTGGGATAGCCCCCTACCCCAGTTGTTCAGGACCCACATGAAAACCAAGCTGCACATCTGCTACATATGTGCAGGGAGGCCTAGGTCTAGCCCGTGTATGCTCTTAGATTGGTGGTTCAGCCTCTGAGAGCCCCAAGGATCCAGGTTAGTTAACTGTTGGTCTTCCTGTGGACTTCCTATCCCCTCTGGGGCTTGCAATCCTTCTTCCTGTTCTTCCATAAGAGTCCCTAAGCTCCATCCAATGTTTGGCTGTGGTGTCTGTATCTATCTGAGTCAGCTGCTAGGTAGAGCCTCTAGGGGACAACCATGCTAGACTCCTGTCCGCAAGCATAACAGAGTCTCATTAATAGTGTCAGGGATTGGTGTTTTTCCATGGAATGGGTCTCTGGATGGGCCGGCTATTGGTTAGCCATTCCCTCAGTCTCTGCTCCATGACCTCGACCCTGCATTTCTTGTAGACAGGATATATTTTGGGTCGAAAGTTTTGTGAGTGGGTTGGTGTCCTTAGTGCTCCACAGGGGTTCCTGCCTGGTTACAGGAGGTGGCCTCTTCAGGTTCCCCAATATTGTGAGTCACAGCTAAGGACACTGATTCTTGGGTACCTCCCCTATCCCAGGTCTCTGTCTCATCCTGGATATACCCCTACTTCCCCACCCCCATCAGCTGCAGATTTCCAGTCATTCTCACAGCCATCTGGCCATCCCTGACAGGAGGGTTTTAAATTCTAAACTAGCCTGACTACCAGAAGAGATCTGAACTATATAATGAAACAGACAAAATCCCAAAGTCCATTTTGGCCCCCTGTTTTCCTTCAGGTTCATGGCCTCCCTGGTTTCCAGCCTCCCTCTGTTTCTGCAGGATGTCCTCCTAGGGAAAACTGTGGTTAGATGTCACCTACCTGAGTGTTCTTCTTCATCCTAAAGAATTAGGCTAAGTTTTTCAGATCCTGAATGCATGACCCTTGTCTTCGGGTCTTGGATTTGATATTCTGTGATTTGAGGATGTGTGAAATTCATCCTAAGGGCAACAGTGGAGGCTTGTCGTGTTGGATAGGACACGATAGAACAATTACATTTAGTGTCAGATACCTCTGTAAGGCAGTATTCGAATTCTAGGTATAATTTCTCAATTATATCTCATCTCAGAGGAGAGGAAGAAAGAACTGAGTGTATTCCAGTCTTGCGCCTAACAGACATCAATCCTAAAGTCTCCCATATTTACATGACATCTTGACTTACATTTCAAGCTTTAGCTGGGGCCAGTCTACAAAGTCATTTGTAATTCTGACGCCAGAAACTCATTTCCAATTCTTTGAGGGCCTTCTCCGGTCTGGGAAACAAGCTGGCAGAATGTGATATAATTTACACTAAACATAAAAGAGACCCTGCCGGTGATGTGACATCTTCAACATTGTCAAGTTAAACTAGTGCTCAGCCCTGGAGTGCACTTTGGACAGGTAAGGGGACTTTCCGTCTCCTTTTACTGTCTTCTACTGTTCTGCCCTTCCCTTGCATTTCTGGTGTGCTTACAGGACCCCCAGAGCAGTCCAGTGCCTGGCACGTGACAGGCATAGGTGAACGAAGGTCGTTGTGTTTCCATAGACTTTGGTACTTGAAACTATGACTGTATTTCTTGTTGTCTTAGCACTAAGTTCTTTGCTAACATGTGGGAACAGTGAGCAGCTGAAGAGAAGCAAGGGTTTGGGCAAAGCAGAAGGGAAGCATTTGAATAGATTCCTCACCTTTGAACAGCCATATGCAGACAAAGACAATCTGTCCTCATTTGGGGACTGGTTAGAATGTATAGCAGAGACATGACTGAGTTTTAGGAAAGCCTCCATCAGAGAAAGGAACCGAGGCTGGGAGTCGCCTCCTCTGGGATTTCTTAATCACAGGGTCGGGAGGGGCAGGTATCAGAATTGAAAGGCGGAGATGGTGAAGGTGTGGAGAAGGTGTGGAGACCGGTGCGAAGATGCTTTTGAAGCGGTACTGTTCTGGGTAAGTGGCAGGTTACACCGTAAATAGTACCAATGGCAACATAATAATACTTTTGCTTTCGTTCACTCAGAGGGCAACCTGGTCTTTCTTCCCATAGCCACTTTATGTTGGACTCACCCCTGTTGGGTTCCTAGGCACTTTAGCAACTCTAACTATTTTGTTCCTTAGAGTGCTCTGAGGTGGAAATGCCTTAAATGTTCCAGATATTTTGTGCTAACCTACATTCCCTAGGTCCTACCTGCAAAGCTAAACTATCCAAAAGTTCTAGAGTGAAGAGCTTGGAGTTCCGCACTGACCCAGGAGGTTTTTTTTTTTTTTAAACTCTAGGCTTCCTGGGAAAAGCCCCCCCACCCCCTACCCCCGCTGCCCCAAGTCGGGGGCCCTCGTTGTCGTCTTCTCTCCCTTCCCCTCTCCCCTAGGGCAGGATTCCCTTTGTAATTAATCCCAACACTCAAAACAGAGGGGAGGAAAACGTGTTAATGAGTGAGCGTCCCAGTCTGACTAGGCGGTCTTCGCTCACAGCTAGAACACCGAGTAATTAAATTATTTTTGGAAGAAGGGGGGTATGGTGTCAGGGAAATACCGTATACATGAGAGAGGGGCCTGTCTCTTGTCACTAATTAATATCAGGGATGACCTTTTTCGCAGCTCTGAGCCGGAGGGGATCGATCTTCCCACATCTCAGATTCCACTGGAGTTTGTGAGGTCAGGTTTGTGGTCCCCAAGAAGAGAATATGGCCAGCATCAGGGCCTAGGGGAAAGGTCTTCAATCGGGGGGGTCGAAGAAGAAAGCTCCAAGAGGGGCTGCGGGCTGGACCAAAGCCAAGAATCGACGCAGCATCCAGCACACCTTCCTGGCCAGGTCTGCAAGGCAGGCGTGGATTCCCAGGATCCAGAGGGCGCAGGGCATGGCCAGGCGCAGGGCTGGGGGTGCCGCGACTCGAGGAAGAGCCGGGCCGCAGACAATGGACGCAGCAGCGGGAGGGGCGGCGGCTGCGGGAACAGCCGGGAGGCGGCACCTGGGAGCTCGCTCCCCGCCCCCTGCCCCTTCTGGTCCCCTCCCCCTCCGCCGCCGGCTCCAGAGCTGATTCCCGATCCCCGATTGCTTGGTCCTGGGTCCCGCCATGGGAGCCTGAGCGCCCTGCAGGTCCCCCGGCCCCCTGCCCCCGGGGCCTCGAGGGGGAAACAGGCGAGCGGTCTGGGACGGAGCCGGGGTGAGCGACCTCGGGAGCCCCCCTCGTCAACCCCCATCGCCCGCGCTGCCGGTTCTGGAGCGCGGAGTTCGGAACGACCGGGTGCGCTGCGGATACAAAGGCGCGGAGCAGAGCGGGGCGTGCGCCCAGTCCACCCGGCTGTTCGCAGCGGCGGGTGAGTGGCGGGCCGTGGGGGCGCGGGCAAAGTTTGCAAAAAAAAAAGGAAAGAAAGAAAGCAACAGAAAAAAGAAGGGAACCATGCAAAAGACCAGGGAGCGCCCGGCCCTGGAGAAAGCAGGGTGGCTTCTGGGGGAAGGGGGGGCTTGAGGCAGCCCCCTTCCGGTCTCGCCCCACTGCACAGCGGAGTAACCCCAACTTTGGAGAGGGGAAGGGGCGCATGGGAGAAGGGGCGGAGCCCAGGCCTTAAGAGCCGGGGACTTTCCTGGGCCGGGGGCCCCGGGCGGGCGCCTGAACGATCCCAGGGGAACCCATTGAACGGGGATTGGAAAGCGTGTGTTGGTGGTGGGAGAGGCCGGGGAAGGATCGGAGGTTGGAGGTATTGGAAGCTGGAGGTATGTAGGGATGCATACACACCTTTGGAGTGCGGGGAGGAAGGGGCAGGTAAATGTTCAGGGTGAGAGATGGCCCTGCACAGCAGTGTGTGTGTGTGTGTGTGTGTGTGTGTGTAGCCCAAGGATGGGACTTGGCGGCGATACTGGTCAGTGTGTGTCGGGGTGTGTTGGGGGGAACCAACGACATCATACCTTTCCCTCGTCCTATTTACTCATAGAAGGTCCTAAGCACTGCATTAGTGAGTTTTAAAGGACTGATTGGGGGATCAGTATGCGTGATTCTTTGTTTTGTGTGCGTGTGTGTGTGTGTGTGTGTGTGTGTGTGTGTATGTGTGTGTGTGCATAAGCCTTGATGTGCTGCGTGTTCCTGCAGGTGGGCCCTGGGTTTGGATGTGTAGCTGTTTTTCCGTGTGTGTGTGTGTGTGTGTGTGTGTGTGTGTGTGAGAGAGAGAGAGAGAGAGAGAGAGAGCACTGACCACACATCTGCTGTGTATATGGGTATGTATTTGTGTGTATACTCAAGGGAAGGGGTGTGTGTCTGTGTATGTGCTGAGAGAGGGGCTTATGGGAAGGAGATGGGCAGGTATTAGAGAAGGTGGGTTTATAAGAGCAGAATGGGTGGTGTGTGTGTGTGTGTGTGTGTGTGTGTGTGAATCTGTGCTCTTGTGAGTAACCTGGACTGATGCATAGGTATGGATATGTGCCCGTCTTTGGACATATGTGTATTTTGAGTGTGTATTGTCTCTGCAGGCAGATTTTCCTAGCAGAAAGCCCACAGGGAAGGCTGTCTGCGGGATTTGAATGTCCCTGCCTAGATTCAAGGGTAGTGTCGTGAGTATGTGAGACCCTAGTGGAGATTCTGCAAGGGGGGAGGTAGTGAGTTGTCTTAGGTGATGCTTATTTGGGGAGATGGACTTTTTTGGAAGATGGTGTGTGATGTGGGGAATGGGGAGGTGGAATTTTGGGGTTCAGGAGTCAAGGACATAATAATGGCCTTCCTCACTGTCATTGGCTGGGCTTTAGTGCCCTTTGAGGCCGTATGCTTGGCTTCTCTGACCCAGTTACTCTCTCTGAGGCCACGGCTCTCTTGGAAAGCCATGTTGTAGGTGGTTACTTCAGAGCCCTCCAGCTCTGCCCTGCCTCTAGGATCCTGAGGGGTGTGGGCTGGAGGCTAGAAGAAGCATACTTCAAGGTGTGAGACCTGGTAGGGAGCAGCGGTAGGATGGAGAAAGTGATATGGGCTGCTTGTCTGGGAGTTTCTGCAAGTGTGTTGAGTAGTTTATCCTGCAGTTTCTTTATTAGAAGCACACTTTAGATGGAGTGTGTGTAGTGTGGGTGGATGTGTGTGTGTGAATATGTATGTGTGCATGTGTGCATGCATGTATGTGTGTCCGAGAATGTGTGTGTATATGTGTTTGTGTATGCAGTGTTTGTGAATGTGAGTTCGAATGTGCACACGTTTGTTTAGGTGTATGCATATGAGTGTGTTTCTGTGTGAATGTGTGTCTGTTTGTGGGTGTTGGAGTTGAGCTTTCAAGAGGGCAGTTGCCCACTTGGTGGGAAACGAGTCTGTATCCATCATCACGAGCCTGGGTGGAAGCCCGAGACTGAGGAGTAGACGTCTCTTCCTCCCTGAGCAGTAGCAGCAACCCCCTTTTCTCTTTGCTCTTGTTGATTCTCTTTTGGGGTGAAGGGAAGACAGGGGCGGTCATTTCCTCTGGGACCCAAGCCTTCTTCCCAGCTGCGTGTTCTCAACTCTTCCTCTTGCTGCCAGAGGTTAGTCAGGCGGAGACACTGGTTTTAAGACAGAGGCTGAAGCTGCACATGCCCATTAGGGTCCTGGGTAATTGCAACTGGAATGTTGGTCTCTAATGGGCATGTGCAGTTGGAATGTTCCATCTTTAGCCCTCAGAAGTCCCTACCTTTCATAAAGCCTGGGGAGAGGAGGGGAGAGGTTTAGAAAATGCTGGAGCAGGAAGAGAAGGCTAGGAACAGTCTGCCCCAGTCCAGTGTTCCCTTTCTTCAAGCCAGACACCTGTCAGATGGTTTCCCTGGGCCTGCAAGGTGCCCCTGTCCAGACACCTGTCAGATGGTTTCCCCGGGCCTGCAAGATGCCCCTGTCCAAGGCCCTGGCGCTGGCGTGCCTTGTTTGCTCCAGGTATGTTCCCTACCAGTAGGAGTTGTCCCCCAAGGAGGAGGAATTGTGGTCAGACAATGACAAGTGCCATTTCAAAGAGTGCTTCCAGACTGGGAACCAGTGGCCACACTGGCCCCTCCTTCTCTATTGTCTTGGTCCTGCTTTGTACTTTCTCTAATTCCCCCGCAGGGCTGCCTTCTCTGGTGTCTCTTCCTCTGTTCCCTCCAACTTCTTGGAGGTCTTGAGGAGGAAGATCCTCCTTTTTCCCTGGTCCTTTACTCCTTCTGAGGCTTAGGGACTCCACTTTTCTCCTTTGCTGGCTCCTACACTATGAGGCCAAAGGAAGAGGCAGCCAGTCTCACTTAGTGTTCAGAGCTGTGTGGGCTGGGACATGTAACTAAGCTTCATTCCTTAGCCTCCTGGGTGTTTTAAGACACCGTCCTCCTAGCCCACACTGACCCCATCCACAGGGAATCCCAGTCCCCACCCTGCACTGCGACCTCTCTCCCTTGATGACAGTTTGCTCTGAACTTCTAGCTTTGCTGCATCCCAATTCTGTGAGCTGAGATAAAACAGCTAAGTTTTGGAAGCCTCACCTGTTACATGCGGTTGGCGATAGATCCCACCTCATAGGTTTATGATGACAAGAGAAATAACCAGGGAAGAGTGTGTTCTTCAGTGTCTGGCACAGGGGAATGACTTAGTAAATCCTGGCTGTCACGGCTTGGATTTTGATCCACAGATGTAGTAGGTAAGGGGCGGATGGAGATCTGGGCGGTCGGGCATCGGAGTGAGGCTGTGCACTGTGCTCTCCTCTACAGACCACATTCAGCACAGTCCACTCTCTGCCAGGGTCTGTGTGAAACACGGGGGATGGAGCGGAGAAGAGCACTGTTGACAGGGGAAACACGCTTGGACACGTTGATCCCCGAACCCCCTAGTGCTGTAATGGAGGTATATCCTGGAGGCCTTTGCAGCATAGCGTTTGGTTCTGTCTGAGGTGCAGTACTGGGCAAGGTTCCTGAAGGAGATGTGTTGGCCACTGTTAGAAGTTAACATGAAATGAATTTCTTTCAAGAGAATGGAATCTAGCGCACACACAGAAGGATTCAACCATCTCTGTCTAGTTGGGGAGCATGCTCACTAGCTCTGAAAGAACTGCAGACATACTAAGCAGTTGTTTCCAGTGCCCTCTTGTTTAGTTCTAGGCTACCTCCAACCTACCTTCTGTCTCTGTGGAGCTCTGTTCTGGCTCTTTTTTCTAAATTTCATCATTTATGTCTGGCTTACTCTTCTCAGAATTTTTGCAAGGCTCGTTCATATGTACTTATGTATATACGTTATATATGTATGGCATATGTAATGCTTTTTATGGCTTAGTAATCTCCTACTACACAGATATTCCTTAGCTGATTTCATTTATTTATTCATTTGCTTATTTGTTCGCTTATTTATTTATTTTGAGACAAGGTCTGTCTTGCTTTTTATCTCCGGCTGGCCTGGAACTCGCTATGTAGACTAGATTGCCCTGGAACTTGTAGAGACCTGCCTTTCTTTCTGGCTCCTGAGTGCAGGTATTAGTCCTGTTCCATGACGCCTGGCCGTTCTTAACCATTTTTAAAGGATAGGGAGACAGGGAGAGAACCAAGGGGCTTGTTGGTGGACGCTGAGCATGAGCAAGGACATCTGTGGGGTGTTTGGTACTGCTGGATCTTGAAGTACAAAGTGGAGATTTGGCCTCAGTTTCCCTAGCTATAAAACAAAATTAATAATCCCTTTCCTTTCCTGTCCTGTCCTGTGGTGTTTGTTGGTGGAGGTGGAGGCATCAGGGAGAGGAGAGGCTGGGATAGTATTGTCAGAGGTGGTTCTTCTTCTTCTTTTTTTTTAACCTACCCTTTCCTCCTCTTTCCTGGCAGCTCCCGCCTGTGTGCTTCTGGTCTTATCCCAGATTTATCTTCCTGCTTTGCCTCTACTCAACTTCCTCTCTCTCTGAGGTGACCTGAAACCTCTCACCCTCTACAGGTGGGTAATCCTGTGCTCTGTGTGATTTTGAGAGCAGATGTGCAGACGGACTGTCTTTGTCCTGTTTGGCCTTTGACAGCCCTTTGTCACCTTCTCTGTTGTGATCTGGCAAGATCCACAGTGTGCCAGGCAGGATCTTTGCATCTCCCCCCACCCCCTACTTAGTACAGAGTGGGAGGCAGAGGCTTCTATGGTGGGGCCCTTTGGAAATGAGCTGTTTCAGTGCCAATCTTATGCCCCTGGCAAGGTTGGTAATTACAGACAAGACAGCTGGGAATGGGTTTGGGAAAAGCAAACTTGGACTCAGCAGTACTGGGGCTATCCTGGTAATCAGGGTGGGGCCCTGAGAGGGGAGAGTGGCAGTGTCTGGGGGCTGGGGTGGGGCAGGAGGCTTGGGGCCTCCTTCCAGCCCATCGATGGGTAGCTAGGACGAGAGCCTGGAAAAGAGTGGGAAGCCATTGGATCCTAGGCCTGACCTCACTGAGGAAGAGGGAGAAGCTGGAAGACCAAAGAGCTCCTGAGACATGGGATGGATCAGGATGTGATTAGTTCCTGGCCCATGTTCCCGTTGGGGAGGAGCCATCTTTACATCCAAAAATGACTCTTCCTTTTTCTGAGTGGAATATACTTTTTATAATGAGGCAATAAGGAAAAGAAGCAGAAGTCTTGGCTAAAAGCTGGGAAACCATCATTTTACTATTGATAATTTATTAATTTGTCTTTTTTTATGTACATTGGTTTTATGTATGTGTTTTGCTTGCATGTATGTCTGTGTGAGTGTGTTAGATTCCCTGGAACAAGAGTTACAGACGGTTAGGAGCTGCCTTGTGGGTGCTGGATATTGAACTCAGGACCTCTGGAAGAGCAGCCAGTGCTCTTAACTGCTGAACCGCTGAGCCATCTCTCCAGTGCTTCAATTTCTAATCTATCCATCTATCTATTTACCTACCTACTTTTTCTTTTTTCTTTTCTTTTCTTTTCTTTTCTTTCCTTTCCTTTTCTTTCTTTTCTTTTCTTTTCCTTCCTTCCTTCCTTCCCTTTTCCCTCCATCCCTCCCTCCCTCCCTCCCTCCCTCCCTCCCTCCCTCCCTCCCTCCTTCCCTCCCTCCTTCTCTCTCTCTTTCTTTCTTTCTTTCTTTCTTTCTTTCTTTCTTTCTCTCTCTCTTTCTTTAAGGCAGGGTCTCACTGTGTGGCCCTGAAACTTCCCTTGTAGACCAGACTGGCCTCAACCTCAGAGATCTGCTTGTCTCTGTCTCTCAAGTCCTGGGCTCACCAAGACATGTGGTCATCACACATGGCCTTATTGAGCACTTTGTGTATTTCAGCTTCTGGATTCATTATATAGAAAACTATTGTTCCCATTTTACAGACAGGAACATAAACTTAGAGAAGGCAAGAAAGTCTTCAGAGATGGTATAGTTCCTAATTGCTGTTCTTGGTCTCTGTGATTTCTTTGCTCTTTGGGCTTCCTTTTCCCCAAGTCTCTCTGTCTTTCCGTGACGCCATCCCCATTCTGATTGCTCAGTGCTGGCTTTAATCTTGACTGTGACTAATCCCTCTTCCTCCTTGGAAAGCTAACACAAGTCCATGTAGCCTGACCAGTAGAGACTTCTAAGGATGAGAACCCATGGGGTCTTATGGAGGAGCCCAGCCTTTTCCCAGGAGGAGCACCTCCTTGTCCGAGCCACTGCAGGGCTCCTGTTAGAGCTGAAGCTCTTCCTTTGTGTGTGGAGTAGGAGCCTCGTTCAGCAAAGAGACTTAAGCTTCACCACCATAGCTCAATGAGTCTTTGTGGAGAGGGACCCGGCCATCACTGTTGTGGATAGGGACCTGGCCATCACTGTTGTGGAGAGGGACCCGGCCATCACTATTGTGGATAGGGACCTGGCCATCACTGTTGTGGAGAGGGCCCTGGCCATCACTGTTGTGGAGAGCGACCTGGCTATCACTGTCCTGTGGTTTTTCTCGAAGTCGTAACCGTAGGACTTCAAGTTCTACTCTCATCAGTGCTTGGCACCCCCCTACCCCCAGCCTGGACAGAAGGCAAGAGGGTGTTTATGATTGGGGATCTGGCTTTTTAGGAGGAAGGGGAGGTCGGATAGAAACAGGCTCTGAGCCTGAGGTCTGATGTGGTAACTCAAAAACCAGCCAAGTGTGAACAGAAACACATATCTCGTCATCTGCTCTACCCCAGGAATGGAAGTGGCGCATAGAAAGATGGGGGAGTTGCTAATCTTCAGAAAGAGTGAGAAGCTTGGGTGAGGGAGGCGGGTGTTGTCAGGAGGGTGGAGGCTGGGTGCAACTCTTTTGGCCTCTGTGTTCCTCGATATGAGTGGCCCTGGGCTGGGGTAGGTGGAGGTTTACGAAGAAACCCAGGCCTGCCCCTCCCCCCCCCACACACATTGGGTCTCACACCTTGAGGCTCATTCTACTGCTTTCCCATACAGTCATAGGGGACGTCACCCACGGCATCCCCCATGGTGTCACCCACGGCATCCCATATGTCTTTCTTGCACTCACTCCTTCCCCACATCTTAGCTCTCCTGGTCTACATTGCCAGCCGGAGGCTGGTTGACTTCCCCTTCCTAAATAACTCTTCCTGCATTGAGGCAAGGGCTGGGTGAGCAAACTTTGAGGTCTCTTGGGGCCAGGGGCAGTTGAGGCCTCCGTAGGACTGAAAGACAGGGTGGCATTTTGTTTGACTGTGTGTGTAGGAAGTGGGGCTGCAGGTCAGCGCAGCTCACCCGCTTCCTATCGCCCTTCTCCCGTTTTCTGGCTCAGTCTTTCCAGACCTTACCTGGTATGTGGGGAGGGGCCTCTTTTGCCACAGCCTGGGAGGCAGCAGCTCAAACCCCTGTGGGTGGGGGAAATTAAATAGAGCATCCTGGCATTTCAGTCCTGGTTGGGTTGCCTCTGTCCTCTCTCCCCATAGCCTCAGCCTGGGAAAGGTGCCAAAGGGAATATTTGTCCCTCAACATCCTGCCCAAGATTGACCAGGGATGGGTCTAGGGGAAACTAGGGGCTGGGATCCTGTGGGATGTGCTTGTGTTTGTGTGAGCGTGTGTGTGTGTGTGTGTGTGTGTGTGTGTCTGTGTCTGTGTCTGTGTGTGTGCTGGGCTGGGGGCAGGGACTCTGAGAGCTGCATGGGGTTGGGGTGCCAGAGACAGCAGAACAGGTCTCTACAGAACCTGCCTGGCCGGGGTGGGTGGAGCCGGGTGGGGCAGGCAGGAACCATTCCAGGTTTCAGGAGGGGAACTAGAGTATGTGCGCATGTGCATGTGTGTCAGTGTCTCAGTGTCTGGGTTCGGAGGATACCCTCCGCACTACCTGCGTTACACTGAGGGAATTACAGAAGGTGGGGAGGGGCGGGCTCTTCACTCTAGCTCTCTTTCAGTCAGTATCAGGTGCCCTGGCAGGAGCCTATCTGTGCACTCTTCCCTGCTACTCTGCCCCTCCCCTGCTAGGAGAAGGATCCTGCCCCCACCCTGGGGCTGTGAGGATGGTGAGCTCATGTCTGGCCCTCCTCGGAGAGTGCTTGGTTAGCAGTATGGGGGTGGGGCACCTGGTGCCAGCTCCTGGGCACCTCATCCTGCAGCCTTCCCACTGGGTCCTCTCTTGGGTCTCACCAGAGTAACTGGGTCTCTTCTGAGGGCATAAGAGTGAGTCTGGGAGCCCATTTTAAGGCTTATGGTGGCTGTGGTCCTTGCCCATCCTGTACCTGATTCTTTCTGTGATAGGAAGGATGTAGCATGAAGTTCTTGGGATGGGTGGCTTTTCCGTGTCCAGGCTGGATGGGAACAGAGGGCTAACGTTCTTCAGAGCAGTGACTGGGCACAGAAACTATTCATTCTGGAGGTAGATTCTTTGATATTGGGCTTAGGACTGCCTGACCTCTGACCCCATGTCTGGTGGGAAGGCGCAGGGCAGGAGTCATTAAGTCTTCCCCTCTCCTCAGCTTCTTGTAGTGTTGTCTGTTGAAAGAACCAGAGTTGGAGGGAGGCTTGCAGAAGAATTTGTTCACCCTTTAGGAGATCCCCGCAAACCCAACTGCTAGCAAGGTTTTCCCACCACTAAGAGGCTAGAACGGACTGTAGTGGAAGTAATGACCACTGGCCGGCCATTTACTGCCCTTCTCTGGGCCTTACTTTATTATCTGTAAAACTTGGTTGGTTTTATGGCTGAGTCACCATTCAACTATTGCTTGCAGCTGCTGAGAACCTGGGTGGGTCAGTCCACTGTCCCCCAGTGAGGGAGAGAGAGGGCAGAAGCAGAGAGTTCCAAGTTAGGTGTCTGTATTTTTACTCAAATCAAAAGTCTTGAGTCTCTGTTATTGCCTGACAGGGCCACCTGGTTGGACTCATCTTTGAAACATGGGGAAATAGTATGGTGTAGGCAAACCTTTGAACCTTTGTTCTGCTTTTTGATAACCAGCCTTATGACTAGGTGCTCTGCTTCTGCGCAGATAGCTAAGTTACCCCCACCCCAAAGTAGGCACTCACTGCTTGGGAGTGCAGCATAGGAGTCACTTGCCTGTCTGTGGGTCGAGGTGCAGAAGGGCGGCCAAGCCAGATTCTGTAATACCCTGATTCTTATGTAGGAATCAGAGAGGGTTGTAACAGGCAAGAACCCACAGATGAATGCCTCTTCTGGAGAGCTTCAAGGGATAACTGTGCCCAGGCAGGACTACCCTTCCTGGTCTCTGGCTGAGAAGAGGAAATGGGGCCTATGAGAGACAGACCCCCTTCAAAGCAGAACTTTTAGCTTCTTTTCCACTTTTCCAGCCTCATCTTTTTCTGGCCCAAGTCTTCTCTCACGTGAAACCCAGGTAGTTCCACCTCACAGGCCTACTTCCAGCCCTGTCACGCGTCGGTTGGTGGAGAAGGGTTGGCCCCTTCTGAGGTGTGATCTATTCCTCCCTCCCTCTCTCCTCTGGCTGACTCACCCTGGCTTCTGCTTTTTCTCCTTGTATTCTGCCTCATGCACCCTCCCAGGTCTGAGGACCTGGACTGCACTGTAGGCCTAGAGCAGTGGCAAACGGACACAGTGACCACAGGCTCCTAGGCCTGGTTGTTTTCCTCAGCACCTGCCGTGAGTGCGTGTTTACACACACACACACACACACACACACACACACACACACACACACACACACAGCGCACTTGGCTATCCACTCAGCTGAGAAGGAGTCAGTTGGTCCTAGTCTTTGTTTATCCTGCACCCCTACCTACCCGTATACCCCGTACCCTGTTCTCTCTGCCTCTTGCCAGGTTTTCAGTTTATATTTTCTCGAGGCCTCCAATTATTTCCATGAAGAAACCCGATCCCAAGCTCAGACAAAAGCTGGGCTGCCAGAGTAGAAACCCCATTCTCTCCCCCTCTGTCCCATTCCCCCAGCTCTATAACCTTTCTCACTTTGGATGCTGGGTATGAGTTCCAGGACCTGGCTGCCATCACCTAGGCAACAGGGGGCTTTGGTTGCTATGGTGATCAATGTGGGAGAAGCTGGGCAGCCCGGACAAAAGCCCCCACATTCCCCTCAGCCCTCCTCCCAATTCCCTTGGGATGTTACTGAGACACATTCCATTAATTTTATTTCTGAAAGGCCTTTGGAGGGGAGAAGGGTCTCCTTTTTGTGCTGGGCTCTTTCTGCTCCCACCCCCCTTCTCCTCTTTGGCCTCCTTTTAACCCCAGATAATCCATGGCTGGTTTGAGAAGGGGACTCAGTGCCCGTGTTTGTGTCTTGTGGGGTGGGGGGGGGGTGAGTTGAACAACAGTGGAGCATATTGGCTTTTTACAGTCTCTGCTCCTCAGCTGGGCACAGCTCAGCCCTGTGCCAAGTTCAGACTTCTCTCCTGTCTCCTCACCGCTCTGACATTTCTACTTGTTGATTTCATCCACTGAATCCGTCCTCCACTTTGTTTCCTGGGAACGCTGCCCACCCAAGAGACCCTCCAAACCTGATTCTTGAGACTGATTAAGCAGGGGGAAGTTCTGCCCGTGTCTTTGCCTACCTTTCATCCCTTCCAATGCTGGGATTAGCTCCTTGGGTACCCAGAGGGACAGCAAGCAAAGGCTTTAGAAGTCGTGGTCCTTTGGGCACCCTCTGTTTGGTGGTTGAGGGAGGAGCATGTTTTGCTGCATTTTGAGCAGCCCTCTGTGTGCCAGGGCTGCGGGGTTTGTCTTTGGCTGGGGAGGAATGTGGGGGGCTCCAGGCTAAGTAGCTCAGAACAAAGAGTTGAGAGAGAACTGGCACCCTGTCTGACCGAAATTTATCTGCAGGGGAAACAGTAGCTTCACCTCACATCTGGGTGTGTTTGAAGTAGTGGGCTGGGGTGTGTGTGCTCCAGAGTTCTTTATTTAGTCCCACGATTTATTTATACCGCCGCCTTCCCTAGTTTCAGAGGAAGTGGTTGGGGACTGGAGTTTGAGAGCTTATTAATTGCTTAACTATTAGTAGCTACACAGTCTATGAAAGCCCTTCTTTCACCCCTGTGTTCCTTGCAGCTACCCCATGAAGGAGGTATCTTCACCTCTTGTTTTACCAAAAGGTTCACCAGCCTGTGAGCACAGTAGGGTTAATAGCTTGACCACTGTCTCGCAGCTCAGCAACAGAGAGTCAGATCTTAAACCCGGATCTTTGTGTAAATCCCAGGCTCTTTTTGGCGTCGGCTTTGGGTTGGGATGCAGGTATTTGGGGTGAAGATGAGGAAGGAGAGGGCTCTAGCGTCTGTCTGAGTCTAATCCGTATCCCTTCTTTGTCCTTTGGCTTCATCATCCTCTCTGTAATCTGTTGGTTTCAGAGCCTCCTGGCAAAGCTCAGTCTTTAAGAGCAGAGCTAGAAGGACCAGGTGGGAACCACATCAAAAGTGGCACAGCTGCACCGCCTAAACTGTCTGGAGGAGTGAACCAGTAGAGTGGGTTCCCGGGGAAAGGGAAGAGGGGTCCAACATGTAATTTACAGACAGAGAGGTGAACAGGGGATGGGCCCTGTTTGTGGCCCTGTTTTAGGGAGGTTTGTTGAAGTATGTCTGTCCCCAAAGTATGTGTCTATCACATGTTGCTTTGATGTGGGAATTTTGAAGTCTCTGGCCCACGGATTGTATCCACATAACTCCGTCAGGAGGAGAGATGAATAGATTGCACATGATTCTTATCTCCCCACAATGGCATTCAGATAGGCAGGCGTATTTTACTCAGTGGGTATCAGTTACTGTATCCACATGAGGGGAAATGGATGAAAATATATCCATCCTTCTGCTCATCCTCCAAGTCCAGGTGATGTAAAGTCATTGGAGAAGAGATGTCTCCACAAAGCAAGTCTGTTTCAGTGCTTTAGCATCCGGAAGGCCCCAGCAGCGTTGGACCTGGCCGTGGTCACTCCTTCCCGGCTCTCCGCTTGTCTCATTGGCTGTCTTGAGACTTCACTCTTCTGGCCTCCTTCTCAGTCTCTTTGCTTGCTCTTCTTGTCCTCCTGACGTGTGCAGTTTGGACATCTTGCATCCCTTCTCCTGAGCTCTTTGCAGTGTCTCTGCATGTTGACTGTACCTTGCGTTCAGACTCCAGCTCCTTGGATGCCCAGTTGTCCATTCCTCACAACGCTGCTGTGAGCTTTGTGAATGGGGAACAGCGTACTCTCAGCCCTCTCCCACGAGCTTGCTCTCCCCCACACGTGCTCCTGCGTAAACTCCGTCCTCCCAAGTCGCTTCTTCTACCCAGCTCGTTGCCTTACCAGAGCTCAGCGTCTTCTCCCTTGCTTGGGGTAGGCTTTTTATTTTTATTACTTAAATTACATTTTACGTACTTATATTGTGTGGTTGACTGGGTGTTTTTGATGTGTCCCCCCCGCCCCTGCTGCTCTCTTCATCAGGTCTAGTTGGTTCTGCAACTCTAGTTCTTGTGTCTTCAAATGGTTCCATAAGAAACTATTTCTTGGTTCTAGTGGCTGAGTCCTCCTGCTGTGGGACCTTCTCACTGATCACTCTGTTTCTGCTTTTACTTCTTTCCAATCCAAATCAGCACAGTTGAATAGGCTTCCCGATAACCTGCAAATAAAACCAGAACTCTTTGTGTGGCTCCTACAGATTCTGCCAGCCTCTCATCCTGAGCTGTGTAGTGTATTGTTTCCTAACTGCATGGAGCCGTTTCTTGACTTGGCCTTCCTTGGTGTGGTGTCATTCCTTCCCTTTCTTGGGCTTTTTCTTCCTTTCTTGGACATGGTCAGGTGTCATTTTCCCAAGTTCTTCCCGATGGGAAAGAATCAAATAATCTACCCAAGTTGGATTATTCTGGGTGTTTTCCTTGCCCTTGGAGCCTGTGATAGCATCTTTCCCAGCCTAGAATATTGTGGGTGGAGGGTCTTTCTAGCTGACAAAGCCAAAGGAGTTGAGCCTATTGGGCAGAACAGGAACCAGGAATAAGGTATTCTCTTGGAGTGGCTGGGCTTACCTGAGATTCTGGTGGCATTTGGAGAAGTTTTTTCATTTGTGTCCTGACCTATGGGAAGCCTGAGCTACCTCTAAGCAGTTGCTTTATTTTCTCAGGGAGCTGTCGCTTGAATTTCTCTGAGATAAGCCCACTCGTCCAGCAAAATAGAGTCCCTCAGGGTGACAGTTGACTTCCTAAAGGTGCCTCTTGGCCTGAAGAAGCCTGTGCTGAAGGAGGTGGCTGTGGGACCCCCCAAGAGGCCCCAGCCCGCGGCCCTGGAGCGTTACAAGGCACGGCGTTCAGACGCCATGGACACCGAGTCCCAGTACTCGGGCTATTCCTACAAGTCGGGCCACTCCCGCAGCTCCCGAAAGCACAGGTGGGTACGGCTTGAGCAGACCAGTCTGGTAGAGGTGGTGTATGCTAAGGTGGTGGGCTAGGGGCTGCTGAAGGGACCTTGAATCCCTCTTGACCTTTGTTTCTGTTTCTCTGGCTTCCTGCTGCAGGGACCGCCGGGACCGACACCGCTCTAAGAGCAGGGATGGGAGTCGTGGAGATAAATCAGTGACGATCCAGGCTCCAGGGGAGCCCCTGCTGGACAATGAGTCCACAAGGGGGGATGAACGGGTGAGCATTGGGGATAAAAGTGGTTTAGATCAGACATTTTCTGATCCTCTGGGGCAGGTGGGGTCTCCTAGGCAAGCGCAGGGCTGATAGATATCTAGGACAAATCCAAGATCAAGAACGGTATCTTTTTGTTTATTTCTCAAGACAGGGTCACCTTATGTAGTAGCTTGTTTTTGTTGTGACACAGGGTCTCACAGAGTAGCCCTAGCTAGCACTGAACTTACAGAGATCTGCCTGCTCCTGCTTTCTGAGTGCTGGGTTTAAAGGTGTGCACCACTATACGTGGCCCCAAGACTGATTTTAAAAACAGAATCCTCCTGTCTCTGAGTCCCAAATGAAGGGATTACAGGTGTGTTACTATTCCTATCCTTTGTTTCGTGTTCCAGGGTGGGACCTTGTTGCAGGGAATTCAGGGAGTTTAGATGTTAGTGGAAACTCTTTTGGAGGTATTAGTTTCTACCTCATCTCCAGAGGCAGAGGTGGTTTAGCTGAGTAAGGAGAAATGCCCCTGCGGCTCCAAAGCTCCTGTCAGCCAGTCAGGTTGGTTCAGGAGAGTTGGAGGGCAGCCGCGGTGGTGTGGTGGGTAGGCCTCAGGTTTCCCTCAAATCTCAGATGTACGCCCTCTGCTGTTAGCTTGTGGAACAGCATCATCTAGGTCCTAAGGAAAAGGGGTTTGGGAAGTCAGTGGAGCTAGGGCACCAGAAGAGAAACTGGGCAGTTAGAGGGGGCACCTTGGAAAAGAATTCTCTAGGACAGAGTGAGCAGTTGTTTCCGTCCTAACTTCTGGTCCATTGCACTCCCTGGATAGAGAGGACAGTAGGCAGGACACAGTTCTGGAATTTAGGAGGGACAGGACTTGCAGTGACACTGAGATTACCCAAGTATTGTTCTTTCTTCTGGGGAGTATCTTAGGCAGTGGAGACTCTTAGCTGCTTGTTCCTGGGGGCAGGGGCCTGTCTGACATTGGGAGCTCTTTTCTTTCTGTAATATCAGGCCTCATAGATTTTTGAAGTTGAAGTATGATTAAACTCACCTCCTATTGGGTGGGGTTCCCTGCCGTGGTCTTTGAGAGGGTAGGCAGTGTATCTCAGGTCACTGGGTGAGGGTGGGGTCCCAGTCCCACAGCCGAAAGTGGCTAGCTCTTCTGCCTTCTATATTCAGATCAGATTCCTCTCCCATCCTCTGGAGAGGAGATTGCTCAGCTCTCTAGCCACTGGCCCTTCCAGGCTGCCTCCGACACTGCACTGCACAGCTCAGTCCTGTAGCTCATAGCCCCTAGGGTTTAGGGTAAGACTCCATATGTCCAGGCTGGATGTGAATTGTGGGTACTGAAAGTTTTGGTAGTCTTGGGACTTCTCTGTAGGATGCCCTGTAGCCACTGCAGAGAAACAGCTTTGAGCTGACCACACTCTGAAGGGCACCTGGGAGCCCGTCTGTCTGTCCTTACAGCCACAGATCCTGTGCCATGGTTATTCAGATGGTCGCCCTACAGAGCTAGCTTATAGTGACTCAGGGTGACCGTGAGTCTGCAGGGTGTTTCCCATATTCTATTTAGGTCATTCACTGATCTTCCTGTTCCCTCTTCTCCCTTAATGAGAAAACAACAGTAGCTCCCCATGATTGGAGGATAGATAATTTTTTTTTTAAAAAAAGACAAGGTCTTATGTAGCTCTGGCTAGCCTTGAACTTACTAATGTAACTGACGATGGCTTTGAACCTCTGACCTTTCTTCCTCCACCTCCCAATGCAAGAAATACAGGCATATACCACTATCTCTGGATTTTTTTTTTCTTTTTGAGACTGTCTTGATCTGTGGCCCAGGCTAATTTTGACTGCCCATGTAATCCTGCTTCAGCCTCCTGTGTTCTGGGGTCACAGTCTTGCATCACCTCACTTGGCTGGAATAGATGTCTGTTCCTGGCTGCCCAAGTGGCTTTGACTTTCCCTTCCTAGCCACTGCTCTCTGCTCCTGCACGTGGACCCCCAGTTCTCTCTTTCCTCAGGGCGCCTTGGTTCATCAATCTCTGCCCTGAGTATCTAGCTCTGGCTTCTGCGGAAACCATGGACCTCTGCAGAATCTGGAAGAAACTTAGGAGAGCCCATGTAGAACATGAATGTGGGAACGCTTCATGGGCATCTTTTACGTGCAGATTGTGGCTTTAGTAAATAGGGGATGGGCCTGCGGGTCTGCCTTTCCCATCCGCTCCCAGGTGACTTCCACACTGCTGGTTTGCAGAGCGCATTCCGACTAACAGCCCCTAGAGATCATTTAGCTCACAGTTCCCAGTCTTGGCTGAATGTTATAATCATCTTGGGGGCTTTTAAAAAAAGGTTGACAAGCAGATCTCACTTTGCATAATTGGTATGTTTTCCAAGCTCCCTAGGTGATTCTACTGTGTGCAGCTGGGGTTAGGAGTCACTAATTCAGATGAGCTTCTTACATGTCACCCGATGCTGGGGGTCAGCTCGGGTCCTATCACTCTCTGGAAGCTGCTTGTTTTGCCTGGCAAGCCTGCTCTTGGGTCACTGTCACTGCCTGAGAAGCTCCCTTGGCAGTTGTCCTGTGCTCTGCTTTGAGGGTCATCGCTGCACATGTGGTGTCTTCCCCCATGACCTCAGTGAAGCTCCCCAGGGACTTGGGTTTTAGACGGCAGTTTCTGCAGACACAAGACACAATATAGCTCAGTAACTTCTGATGATTGCATATGTGTTGATTTCTCTCTCCCGTCCACTTTCCCACTTGGGCATCTATCTTCTCTGCCTGTCGTTTCCTCTCCACCCCCTTCCTGACTGTAGGATGACAACTGGGGAGAAACAACAACAGTGGTCACAGGCACTTCTGAGCACAGCATCTCCCATGATGACCTCACACGCATCGCCAAGGACATGGAGGACAGTGTCCCGCTGGATTGTTCCCGCCACCTGGGTGTGGCAGCAGGGGCCATTCTGGCACTGCTCTCGTTCCTCACCCCGCTGGCTTTCCTGCTGCTGCCCCCGCTGCTGTGGCGGGAGGAGCTGGAGCCGTGTGGGACCGCCTGTGAGGGCCTTTTCATCTCCGTGGCCTTCAAGCTGCTCATCCTGCTGTTGGGCAGCTGGGCTCTGTTCTTCCGCCGACCCAAGGCTTCACTGCCCCGAGTCTTCGTGTTGCGAGCTCTGCTCATGGTGCTTGTCTTCCTGCTCGTAATCTCCTACTGGCTCTTCTACGGCGTTCGCATCTTGGATGCCAGGGAGCGCAGCTACCAGGGCGTGGTTCAGTTTGCCGTTTCGCTAGTGGATGCCTTACTCTTCGTGCACTATCTGGCTGTAGTTCTGCTGGAGCTGCGTCAGCTCCAGCCCCAGTTCACACTCAAGGTCGTGCGATCCACAGATGGGGCCAGCCGCTTCTACAATGTCGGCCATCTCAGGTATGGGTGCACGGGATGGGTAAAGTGGGACTTCCGTAGGACAAAGATGAGACCTGAAAAGGTTGGGGGATGGCGGGACAATAAGTGAAGAGCTAGAGGGGCTGGGTGGAAGGGAGTGTGCACACAGTAAAAGTTCAGTGGTGTTTTCAGCCTGGCAACAAGGACATATGTAGGATTGTGGGCAAGGTGTCAGTGGGAGTTGTGAACTGCCAGTGATAGGCAATTCAAAATCAGGACCCTTAGAGGAGGATGGGTCAAGAGGAAGAGATGTCAGAGGTATAAACAGAAGGAAACTTTTTCTTGGAGGCACAGGTTTTTGTGAGTAGTTGGTGAATGCTGCTGAGATGAGCAGGCCAGAGGGAGAGATAAAAAATCAGCTCCCACCAGGCTTGTGGGCAGAATGTTCCCCTCCGTCCCCCAGGCTATGCAGAGCATCAGTGGCACCTCCTAGGTCCTGTCAGAAACCTTGGGGGAATGTTGGAGTGGGAGGAGCCCCTTGTCTGGGGCTTGTTACCCCCTAGGCTTCAGCCTGGCAGGAAATGAGTAGCAGACCCAGCTTTGGGAAGGGTTAGGGGCCTGGTAAGTATAGGCCTCAGGCTTGAGCCAGGCTTCTTGGAAGCAGCTTGTCCCTGTCGTGTGTCCTCTCCAGCCCTGCTGACCTGCCCTGATGTGTCCCTTCCCCCTCCCCACTCCTGCCGTCTCCCCCACAGCATCCAGCGAGTGGCAGTGTGGATCCTGGAGAAGTATTACCATGACTTCCCTGTCTACAACCCCGCCCTCCTCAACCTGCCCAAGTCCGTCCTGGCCAAGAAAGTGTCTGGCTTCAAGGTGTATTCTCTCGGAGAGGGTGAGCGGCCCTGCTCCTCCACCCCTCCGGCCTCTTCCTAAGCAGGACTCCAAGCTACTTCCCTTGCCTTTTCCTTTCTCTGGCCTGTGTCCCAGCTCCCTCTGTTCTGTCATTCCCCTTGACTTCCAATAGCTGGTCATAGCTGCTATCCTTCTTATGTTATGGTGTACCCCCGGTTTAGATCATGTGTCTGCTCATAGCCTTGGTCTCTACCCTTTGACCCTGAACTGCAAACTCTCCTGCCTCAGGAGGCGTGTGTGTGTGTGTGTGTGTGTGTGTGTGTATGTATGTATGTGAGTACATATATGCAGGACTCCTCCCCTTTCGTCCCTTTCTGGTTGCTTTCCTGCAGTTTCTCCCAGAGGTGGCCAGGAGGGCTGGGACGGGGGCATTGTTGGGTGGTGGGGACACAGGATACATCCTCTGGCTGTGTCAGGCCTTTGTTTCCAGAGTGCAGAGGCTACACTTTTTCTGACCATCTCCTCTATCCTGCTCTTGTACAGAAAACAGCACCAATAACTCCACTGGCCAGTCAAGGGCCGTGATCGCAGCTGCAGCACGGAGGCGCGACAACAGCCACAATGAGTACTATTATGAAGAAGCCGAGCATGAGCGCAGAGTGCGCAAGCGCAGGGCCAGGTGGGTGCTGGCTGTGTGCATCCTGGGCTGCGGACACCTGAGGGAGGGGAAGCCAATAGAGCGATACCTGTGGGGCAGCGAAGCCCAGGAGGCCCCAGTGCCTGCTGGGAGCAGGACAGTGATGATACAGGGTTTGTATATTCATTTCCTAGTGCTTCCATGATTGATAACCACAGACTCGGCAGCTGTAAAACAACACATTTATTATTGCTTGGTTCTGTGGGTCAGGTTCAGGCATGCTGGACTGCTTGTTTGGATCTTTGTGCACCTCTCATGTGAGCCCAGGTTTCTCTTCCAGGCTCCCTGGCTTTTGATGGAATCACTTGTGTCTCATGCTCCCCCCACAGTTCTCAGCATGGTAGTTGGCTTTTTCCAACAGGAGCCAGCTCTTTCTTACTCTTGCTACCTACAGAGAAGCCTGGTTTTCAGGCCCAGCAGGATAATAATTATTTGTGGGTGCATGTGTGTGGAGGCCAGAGGCCAGCCTCAGCTGTTGTTCCTCAGGTGTCATCCATTTTGCTTTTTTTTTTTTTTTTTCGAGACAGAGTTTCTCTGTGTAACCCTGGCTGTCCTGGAACTCACTCTGTAGACCAGGCTGGGCTCGAACTCAGAAATCCTCCTGCCTCTGCCTCTCAAGTGCTGCGATTAAAGGCGTGCGCCACCACTGCCCGGCTCCATTTTGCTTTTTGAGATAGTATCTTCATTGCTCTGGAGCTTAACAAGTAGGCCAGACTAAGCTGGCTGGCCTCCAAGTCCCAGGGGTGCGCCTGCCTCTGCTTCCCCAGTGCTGGGATTAAAAGTACAGGCCATTATACTTGGGGTGTTTGGTTTTTTTTTTGTTGTTTTGCTTTTGTTTTGAGATGGTGTCTTACTATTTAGCCTTGGCTGGCCTGGAACTCACTCTGTAGAGCAGCCTGATCTCAAACTGCTGCATGTATCCTTCCACCCCGGTCAGACATCAGCACTGCCTGTGCTGTTGTGACCGAATAGAAATGCCATTTCCAGGGCCTGCCCTGCCAAGTCTGAGGACCTGAGTTCAATCCCCAGAATCCGTATGTTGGAAAGCGAGAAAGGACTCCTCTAAGCCCCACAGAAGGCGTGTGCATACCCCCACCCACATAAATAATATACTACTACTACCACTCCTGCTAATGTCCTGTCCCTTTAGTCATATGCATTAATTTTTTGCATAGTATACTGTTCTGTGGAGCCTTTTCTGATGGGCTACTTGGCCTTTTCTGCAGCTTAGTTCCTCAGTGTCATTCTGGATTTGATGCTGGATTTGATTGTGGATTTAAGTCCCTAGTCTGATCCCACTGAGTACGACTGCTTCTTGCTGTTCGTGAGGAAAGCACCCCCTCCATCTCTTAGCATTTGGCTCCACAAGGACTTCTGATACTTCAGGGAGAGTACAGAGGCCTGACCTCACTCTGGCTGCAGCAGTCAGAGCCAGTGGGTGGAGGATAGGATGAGCAGTGGGCACCTGGTCCAGATACTACCTGTCCCCCAGGCTTGTCGTGGCTGTGGAGGAGGCCTTCACGCACATTAAGCGGCTGCAGGAAGAGGAGCAGAAGAACCCCAGGGAGGTGATGGACCCCCGGGAGGCAGCTCAAGCCATCTTTGCGTCCATGGCCCGTGCCATGCAGAAGTACCTTCGCACCACGAAACAGCAGCCTTACCATACCATGGAGAGCATCCTTCAGCACCTGGAGTTCTGCATCACCCACGACATGACACCCAAGGTTGGCCTGCTGCTTCCAGACCTTCCCCTCTGTCCAGCTTCTAGTCTCTTTTGTTCATGGCTGTTTCTCCTTCCCATTCTGTGCCATATCTTCATTTCTTCTTGAGAATCTCTTTTCCTGTTCCCATTCCATCTATCTTGTCTGTGTGGAAGAGGCAAGGGTAGACCTCAGAGCTATTTGGGGGATTTCAGAGGCCTGTTTTCATTTTTATAAGGCCCTAGATTTCTACATTTTAAGTCTTACACCTTTACCTTTCTGACTCCTTCATCCCTAAAGGAAACTTTTGCCTCTTCTTACTTTGAGCTATTGGCTTACCTCAGCACAGTCGCCAGCTTCCAAGAATGGCTCTCTCAGAGCCCTCCTTGTTGAGTGGGTGATAAAGAGGATGGGAATGTAACTCGGTGGTATATCAGGCCTGAGTTCTTGATTTCATTTACAAGCAAAACACACATACGCACACAGTGTGACACTTGAATCTTTGCTTGGCCCACCTTTCTTGTAGTGTAGAACTACATGGTTCTAGTCATATCAATGGTATGGAAGGGAGGGAAGGAGGAATAAGGTTCAAGTTGCCCCGGGCACAGCCTGGTACAAGGAACAAGGGTGAAGAATGGTAGTAAATTCTGGTCCTGACTGGAGCTGTATCACTTCTGTGCATGTCATGGTCTCCGTCAATACATTAAGCATCTTTCTGGCATTCTTCTGCATTCACATTTGAAGATACCAATTCATGGGTATAGAAACATTCAGAAACATTCTAGCTATCTTAGAAAGCTGTGTCTCAGAGGATGAAGGGTGGGTGGGTGGAAGAGATGCCAAAATAGTATCTTCTCCCCTCCTCAGGCCTTCCTGGAGCGATATTTGGCTGCCGGACCCACCATTCAGTACCACAAGGAACGTTGGCTGGCCAAACAGTGGACATTGGTGAGCGAGGAGCCAGTGACCAATGGGCTTAAGGATGGCATCGTGTTCCTCTTAAAGCGCCAGGACTTCAGCTTGGTGGTGAGCACCAAGAAGGTGCCCTTCTTCAAACTCTCGGAGGAGTTTGTAGATCCCAAGTCACATAAGTTTGTCATGCGGCTGCAATCGGAGACCTCTGTGTGACTTTGCAGCAGCCGAGAGGAGGGATGTGGGGGTTCCCGCGGAATGGGAGAGGCTTGGTTCTCTGGCCCTGACACATTTCTGCCATCCTACTTCCTCTTGCTCTTGTTTGTTTTTAGTTTTTGTTTTTTACTTGAATTAACTTATCCTGTACTCAGTCTCCTCCCCTCTTCTTCAGTTTTTCCCGTCTGGAAATCTGGAGAGAACACCTTGCTTTAACAATGCCTGGGAACCACCCTGACCCCCAGCTTTGTATCACTCCAGGCCCTGCAGGAAACAGTGCCTCATAACTTCCCTCATCTCCATTCTTACCCCCAAAACATTCCCTGGATGGAAGTCCCTTCCAAAAGTGTTCCTGATTGTACCCTTTGCCTCCTGAGCTCCAGCTTATAAACGGATATCCTTAGAGCTGCATTCTCTAGTGGCCCCTGATAGGGTTTCTCTTGGGAGCACAGCTCTGACCCCAGAGAACCATGGTGCCAAACTCCTGTGGGACAGCAGCTAACTGTATCCCCTGTCCCCACCCTTAGCCCCAAGTCCCTGGGCAAGGATGCATCAGTTACATAGTCCCAGAGGTAGAATTCTCCCTGCAGTCTTCCTCTCCAGTGTTACAGCTGTACTTCCGGGTACACACAGACACACAGAAACACACACAGACATACAGCAACTTACAGACACACAGACACAAAGACATACACATACACAAACACCCAGAACAAGGGGAAGTTCCTCTACCCAGGAGTCTTTACTGCTGTTTCTGACTTGTATGGTCACGTGATCACAGGCAAATGGAGGTGGACTGTCTCTGACCACTTTACCAGGGCTGTGGGGAAGGTATGGTGTGTCTTTCTTAGACAATTCCTGAGAGGAAGGGCAGGATCGACCCCTGAGGTTATAGAGACCCTTGTCACTGACCCCATCCTTCTGAACTCACTGACCCCTATCCCGAGCTGTTCTTCCCACCCTTACCCATGAAGGATGCATGTTGACTTCTTAAGGACTCCATGGCATGCAGACCCTGACCAACCCTGGGGTCGAAGACTTTTTTTTTTTTTGCACCAGCTACCCCAGTCCTGCTGAATTCCAGCTCTAGAGACCTGTGCCCTCATCTCTTTATTGGGGGAGGGGCCAGCAGCTCCTTCTCATCCCCTGCCTTAAATCCAGTTCTTTGCCTCAGGGGTCTCTTTCCCATGGCCTTCCAGGGTCCCATCCTCTTCTCTCCCCGCCTTGCTTTCTGGGCTCTATATCAGGGTGAGGGACCAGGATTACTGCCTTTTGTGGGTATTAGCCCCTCACCCCAGTTTAACTAATATAGCCTTTGCAGCAAATCTGAATCTCAGTAATCTAAAGCTCACTTTGAGCAGGATTCACTAGCCCTCTAATGGGTATTTTCAGAGTAAACTTGAGCCTTTAAATCAGACACCTTTAAATTATTTTTTACCACAAGGACTAGAAATAGGGAATACCCACATCCTTCCTCCTGGGATCCAGACTGTCCTGATGACTGCGATGGAGAAATGCCCCATGACACTTTTCTAAACAACTCTCAAAGCCCCTGCAAAGACCCTTCACTTCCCTGAAAACTTGGCTGGTATTTGCTGTGCAGAGCACACCCTGAGATGGGGTACCTTTGATCTCACTGAGAGGCTGTGAGATCCCAAGGAGGAGCCTACCCACCAGCTGCTACACTTGTCCATTAGGGGTTACTTTCTTCTCATAGGAATGGTGTTTGGAGCTGACTTACACAGGGCCTCAAGGTTAGCTTAGGGCTGTGGTAGAGGTGCCTCAATAAACTCCAGTGAAATTAATATGTCCTTGGGTAATGGGAAGGTATCTTTTCTTAAAAAAAAAAAAATCAGGTTTCAGAGGAGAATCTTTTGAGTCACGTAAATACCTCACTATCCTGGAAAGCAGGGCCTGGATGGTGATTGGGGTCATTGCCTTTGTGGGCAAGAGTGGGTTTTGGTGTTGCTTTGAGCAGTGGGTGGGTGGGATGGCCCGAAGGAAAAGATTTGGGATCTTAGTTGATGCCCTAGGTTAGGGACACAGGAGTGTTTGTTTTAAGAACCTGCCATGTTTTTTAATCACTGTGATATTTCCATTCCTTTTTCCTAAAACAAAGAGAGGAAGCTGACTCCCTGTCTAAGCACTAAGGGCTGTAACTTAAGAATGGTAGCGTTTTGGTCCTTTGTGTCAGAACTGTGGTATCTTCGTCTACTTTGGTTTATTTTTTAAAGTGTCAAGATGAATTGTCAAATGTATGGCTGTGTGTATGTGTGTATGTGTGTCTGTATGTGAGAAAGAGAGAGAGAGAGAGAGAGAGAGAGAGAGAGAGGTGTCTCTCTCTCTCTGTGTGTGTGTGTGTGTGTGTGTGAGAGAGAG